CCATGGTTTCCCTTATTTGCAATATCTAGTATATGTATGAGTCAAGCGGAAAAGGTCAGATAAGGTGATGTTAGGAAAATGAACCCTTAGATATGTATTTTAATGTTTTTTTCTTTCATGTATTTGTTTCTAACGCATTTATAAGATTATCTCTTTGTTGCTTTGTATGTCCCTCCCCCACAGTATAACCCCTGCTTTCACTATATTTGATGTCAGTATAACTTGTGGAGGAGATGGGGAAAAACAATTCGTTTAAGGATACAGGTGGACCGGTTTAAGGATACAGGTGGACCAGTTGCAACAATGAGAAGTACAAGTTGTCATGTCAAAAACGAGCTTTACAACGTTGGGGAGGGCAGGCTGGGAAGGGATATGAAGGGTAAACAAAAGAGGAGGCTGCAATGCTTGATAAGAAATGTACGCATTATCCTACCCATGTAATTGTAACCCCTCTGTACAGTATGTTCACAAAAAAAAAAAAAAAAAAAAAGAATCTAGTGACTATTGCTCTATGTAGAGCAATTAGGTCCTAATTTATCCTCCAAAATCAGAATGAATTTATTTGGTTAATAAAACAATGATGTCTAGCAAGCATCCAGCCCCGTGGCTGTGTTGAGTGCATGTGGAGATTTTCCTGTGCTTGCTGTAAAGGTTAGGAGAAGGCTGCCATGATGCTAGTTCACACAGTGGTAAGAGATTTTGGCTTGGAATGCACAAAAATCCCAGCCTGAATTCCCAGTACCATACTGAAAAATCTATTACATACGTATCAAAGATGTCAAGTACGCAAAGACTGGAACACCAAACTACATGGGTTCAAACCTTGGCCATTTACTAGAAGATCTTGTGTGAATTCCTTCATCTCTTTGGCCCTATTTCTACTTCATCTGTGAAATGAGATACTGATACTTGCCTCCTATAATTATCAGGAGTTATGAATAAGTTCATACATCTAAGGTCCTTAGATTGCTGCCTGGCATGCTAAATACTCCACAAACACATCATATAAGTTAATAAAATCTAGTACGAGTGACCTATAGTGACTGTCATGAAACAGAATCTTTTCCTCTTGAATCTTGACATTAAGGTTATAACCATGAAAACCATAAAAGCTATTAAATAAGCATTTTTTCTCTCTGAAAATGGCTTGAAGTCATTCTTTTTTGTTCAGAGTTTGGGGAAAGAATAGAGTATATGGTTTTCCTTTTTTCCTGTTCTGTCTTCATCTGATTTTGAGAAATAACTACTACTTCTCTAAGAGAAGGCTAAATTTTTTTTAAAGTGACCTTTGCCAAAAAAAAAAAAATCACAACTTCCACCTTGATTCTTACCCCAGCTCTGAAAATTTTGGAAGTCATTGACATCTCGCTTAAAAAAAAAAACCCTAAATAAAAGAACCACATAACCACATCAAATAGATCTAAGCTGTGTGCCCCAAAGTAATGATCAAATTGAACATTTTTAAGTGGCACCCCGGGCTGTAGAGAATAAATACATAAATGAGGATTAAAGGAAGACCTTGGAGTCTAGTTACCTTTTTTGTTAATCCTTATGTGGCATGATTTACTACTTAATTTTGTGTTTCTTGAATAAATGTACTTAGTGAAGTTTTGGAAAATTCAAAGAAAGTACTTATCTTGATGACTACCAGGGAATAAAATATGAGTGAACCTGAACTTTTCTTCATAACTAATAAAGCCCCAGAAAGAAGTATTACTTGATCTTTTTTTCTTTTTGGTCAGTCACAGGACTTGAACTCATGATCTAGGTCTTGTCACCTGAGCTTTTTCAATCAAGGTTAGTGCTCCATTTGAGCCACAATGATACTTACACTTTTCTAGTGCTTCATTGGAGATTAGAGATGGACTTCATCTGCCTGGCTGGCTTTGAACTTCGAGCTTCAGATCTTGGCCTCCTGAGTAGCTAGGATTACAGGTGTGAGCCACCGGTGCCCAGCTAGGTTTTCTTCATTTGCTTATAAATGAACAATTTGCTCATGAGCGTATGAACAGAGCGTTAGGAATTTGTGAAAGACTCCCTAGCTATGTGTTGTATCTTACTATGTGACTGCCTGCAAGAGTCACCATTTGGTCAAGGATATCTTGGAATTGTGATGGAAACTTTCAAAAATAATTGAACTTGCTGTACCATATAGTATGGTTTGGCTGTTTGTTTTTTTCTCTCTCCTTAATAAGGTTAGTTGGCATACCTTTGGCTCTTAACAACTTGCATTGCTTCTTACTGACTTGAAGGTTCCAAGAGAAAGAGACAGAACATTTGGTTTACCCAATGGAGAGACTCTGCACCCTTATCCCAGTGCACAGTCAATGCAGAGCTAGTCCTTGCCACTCTAGGCCCACCATCTTGAACATCATGACAGCTGGGTGCTGGTGGCTCACACCTGTAATCCTAGCTACTCAGAAAGCTGAGATCTGAGGGTTACGGTTCAGACAGCCCAAGCAGGAAAGCCTGTAAGAGCCTTATCTTCAATTAACCACCAAAATCCAGAAGTGAAGCTATGACTCAAGTGGTTGAGTGCTAGCCTTGAACAGAGAAGCTCAAGGACAGTGCCCAGGTTCTCAGTTTAAGCTCCCAGGACTAGTACAAAAAGTATGAAAAACAAAACAAAAACCCTTCACTTTAATGGGACCTTATCACCCCTGACAGAGTTGCTTCCTAGATTCTGAATTCCTTTCATGTGAACTGTTACATGGTGGTCTGATTAGTGATTTGTGAGATGAAAGCCAGATTTTTCTCTAACTTTGGTATTTTATATGTCCTCTCTCATTGCCGTTTTCTTATAACTTCTCCATTTCTCTTTCCAGTTCTGGTATTATTTAGTGTTCCCATACCATGTTCTAACTGAGTTCCTTGTGATAATTTTTAGTAGTTATACAACAAATCACGTGCAGAACATAAGCCAGTACTTAGCCAAAGAATGAAACAGAGAAGCACTGCCAAACCCAGCTTCATAATCTTCCTTTAATAAAATTCTACTGTGGCATATCATCTGGTGTTGGGTTTTAAAACTTGAGACTTTGTGTGCCTATTTTAGAGAAGGGAACTACAAGGTTATTGCTTACATGATTTCACTTGCAGTTGAACTAAGAATGCAATTCATTTCTAATGTTATCTGCCCCACCTCAAAAAAAAAAATAGGCATCAGTGGCTCACACCTATAATCCTAGCTACTCAGGAGGCTGAGATCTGAGGATCGTAGTTCAAAGCCAGCCCAGGTAGGAAAGTCCTTGAATCTCTTATTTCCAATAAACCGCCAGAAAATCCAAAGCGGCACAGTGGCTCATAATAGGTGGTCAGTAAGTATTTGTTGACACACTAGCTTTTGATTTCCTGTATAATATTAAAAAGTACCAAGTTCTCTATGTAATACTATCTGTATGTACGTGATTTGAGGCATGGTCTCACTAGATAGCCCAGGCTAGCCCATAGAGGAACTTGAGATCCTGAAGATTGCAACTAAATCTAAAGAAGAAAATAATCAATGCCTAAGAATAGCTTCCTATTTTGTTATTTTAAGAAGGCAGGGAAATGTGACCCACCAGGGAAGGCTTTTTTTTTGGTCACAGATGTTTGATAAGGTGCAGTCCTGGCTTCCAACTTAGCAGAAAGGCTATGAGCAGGTTGCTTCATTTCTTTGGCTTCCATTTTCTTCTCTTTCAAATGTGAGAACAGCGTTGAGTGATTCTTAAGGCCCCTTCCAACCCAGAGTTCCAACCTGCCAGTTCTCTGCCTGCTTGCTCCTCTTCAAATGAGTATCACAGTCCTAACAGTGTTGCAACTTTGAAGGAATGGACGTTTTGCTATCCAGAATATTGGGTAGCCAAGATTTTACTGTACATGAATACATACATACTTAAGAGACTAATTTAATGCCTAGGAGAACATTTGGGACTGGTTAGAAACTGTGGAAATCTCCTAATTCTTAGTAAGGAGTGGTGATTTTAGTGTAGATAATTACCATCTTGTTGCCTGATCTGGGGACTAGAGGGGGTTGGGGAGGGGGGGTGTGCAGCAGAAGGGGTGTCCAAAGTGATATCCCAGAATAGGTAAAAGCACAAGGCTCCCCAGCCACCACCCCTCGCATCCTCTGTTCCCTCCACTTATCCAGTCTGAAAGAGGAGACTAGGCGAATGAGCATATGGCAGGCACTTTTCAGTTGCCAGCCAGAATGGGGCTCCCTATAGACGAGCCTTTTTAAAGAAAGTATGCAGGGAACTGAGGAACAGGATGAACAGCCCCATCTCCCTTCAGTATTATTTTCATCCTCACTACTCTTCCCCCAAAACTTAGAGCCTCCAGTGTACTGGGTGTATGCTTGGTTAGAGGTGAAAAGTTCAAAGGGAAACTCGTGGGTCTAGTGTTTGAAAAGAAGCTTTGCCTGTGTTGCAGCCTGGCCAAAGCAAGCACAGTCCTTGTGAGGACCCTAGGAGGGGCTGTTGGCAGGCCACAGGGCAGGTAAAGGTAAACTGTTAGCTCATCTCATCTCGTGGCTGATCTTTAGACAGGGATGTTATTTTGTAAAAAGACTTTGAAGTCACTGAGCAATGTTCAATGTCTGTGAGGGAGGGGGAGACCCCTCCCCGCCCCCAAGAAAAAAAGTTTGGGAGACCAAAAGAGGGGCTTAGGAGCAATAGGAGTTTAAAAGGTGGGAGGTGCATGTAGCTTGTTTGTTTAAGGTCACGTGATCGTCTGGGAATGTAGCTGCCATGGAGTGCTTGCCTAGCATGCACAAGGCCCCAGATTGCACTCTCAGCATATAAGAAGGAAAGAAAGATGTTCATCCTCTGCTCCCCTTTTGCCTCTCCAGTACATATGGTCTATTTATCTGATCTTGATCTGTCTTCTTCATTGGAGGCAGGCCAGGCCCTGATCTTTAGCTTCGTGGCTAAATCTTCAGTGTCAGCTGAACAGATTTGCTATTCCTGGATATGTTTTAGCCCTACCTTTACTATCATTGTTTTCTCTTCTCACACATGTAGGTGAACCCCACAGCCCAGTGTACCCAGGCACTCTTGAAGATGATCTATTGTTCCCACTGCCGGGGGCTCGTGACTGTGAAACCTTGTTACAACTACTGCTCGAACATCATGAGAGGCTGTTTGGCGAACCAAGGGGATCTTGATTTCGAATGGAACAACTTCATAGGTGAGCCTTGGATCAAAGTGTTTGAATTGCTACAGATGGTTCAACCGCTACACACACACAAGAAATGTTTTAGCTGGGTGCCAGTGGCTCATACCTGTAATCCTAGCTACTCAGGAGACTGAGATCTGAGGATCACGGCTAAAAGCCAGCTGGGGCAGGAAAGTCTGTGAGACTCTCATCTCTAATTAACCACCAGAAAACCAGAAGGGGAGCTGTAGCTCAAAGTAGTAGAGTTGCCAGCCTTGAGCACAAAAGCTCAGGGAACAGCGCCCAGGCCCTGAGTTCAAGCCCCAGGACTGGCAAGAAAAAGAAATGTTCTAATTGCCAACTAGGAAATCACTATTCGTTTTAGTGTTAATTACTTGGTGTTTTCCAGAGTCTCAACTCTGCTCAATACTTTGAAGTTGGTAAAAATGATTATTATAAGTAAATGTTCCCTTTAAATAAGGGTAGCATTTCTGAAGATGACTAGACACAGTGACTATCAACTTTGAATCATACTCAAATACTTTTTTGATATCTTTTTGCCTAAAGCTCAGTTTTAGTTCCACATCTGAACCGACTGCTAGAGTACAACCCTCTCCATAGCAGTAAAAATGGCTTTTCAAATGTCATATATTGGAACCACATTGTCCACAAAACCTGTTCATTCTTTCTTCGGATCCATAGACCTCTGTGGAAATTTAAGGATTTTATTTCTTTTTTTTGGGGGGGGGGTCCGGTTGTGGGGCCTGAACTCTGGGCCTGGGCGCTGTCCCTCAGCTCTTCAGCTCAAGGCTAGCACTCTACCACTTGAGCCATAGCGCCACTTCCGACTTTTTTCTTTTTGCTTATGTGGTGCTGAGGAATCGAACCCAGGGCCTCAGGCATGCAAGGCAAGCGCTCTACCACTAAGCCACCTTCCCAGCCCCAGGATTTTATTTCTATAGGGGAGTTAGCCATAATGGACTACTCTTGTATGAATAGGAGGACTTTTCCTCTGGTAATTTAAGAAAAAAATGGTTCCTAGCCAGGGGCCACTGTCATCCTAGCTACTCAGGAGGCTGAGATCTGGAGAATCACACTTTGAAGCCAAGCTCAGGCAGGAAAGTCTGTGAGACTCTTATTACTAGTTAACCACTCAAGCTGGAAGTGCAGCTGTATCTCAAGTGGTAGAGCATTAGCTTTGCAAAAGAGCTCAGGGACAAGGCCCAAGCACTGAGTTCAAGCCCCAAATAAATAAGTAAATAAATGAGTATATAAACAAAACCTGCATATACCTTTCATCTAGGAAGCCATTACTGGAACCCAGATAGCACTGTAAGTGCTGTCTAAGTTCTGAGAGGATTACTTATGATTTTTTAGCAAAAGCACAATTAAACCTAATTTAAACACCTAACCATCAACTACTTTGCCTACTCAGTGTATGTACTAGTCCTGAATCTTCCATGACTAGTATTAAAGCCTCCAATGTGGAATGTTAGAGGAATCCTACACACATGCAAACAGCTTACAAAAACAAACTCATTTTTCCTCATCCCTCAGTGACATTTGCATAATTATAGACTTGGAGTGTCTTTATAGGAACCTATTTTTCACTTATTTGTCCACATCATGGGAACATGCATATAATTTGCAAGCTTTTTTTTTTTTTTTGGTGGGGAAGAATTGGGGTTGAAGAATGCTTTTTAGTTTGCACGAGAGCTAATTACCATATTAACTCTGTTTGAAAGTGCATCAGTAAATTGGCTCCAACAGATTCTTGAGAATACTGACACGGGGGGTGGGGGGGTGGGAAGTGAATATTAAGCACTTCAACACAATTGTGGCCTAAATAGCTCAATGCAAAAAGGCCTAAAAAAAAGTCTTTTACACAGAGAAAAGCAGAATCCCATGAAAGGGAAAGCACTGTCTCCCTCCCCCCCCTCCCCTGCCCTGTCCCCTCCTCCCCCCCCCCCCCCCCCCCCCCACACACACACACCATGGCCTGGACACAGAGACCTTCTTAGGTTTAATAAAGCCTGCCTGTCATACCCCCTCACCCAAATGTCAAGTTTATAATTCACTTCCTATATTTGAGTTTTTATAATCCAGGAGAGCTGAGATTATAGCCTTGAGCCAATCCACTTGATTAATTTTTTTTAAATGGTGCTACTCAGGTTTAAACTGCTGGCTTTCTACCACTTGATCCATGCCTGTACCCTAGTTTTTGCTGGGTGTTTTAGAGGCTAGGTCTTCTATACATTTTTACTTGGGCTTTCTTCAGACCTGTATCTGCTGATCTCGGCCTCCTATTACAGGTATGAGCTACCAGCATCCAGCTAGATTTTCTTTTCCAGTTTGTACTAGTCCTGGGGCTTGGACTCAGGGCACTGTCCCTGAGCATTTTTGCATAAGTCTATCACACTTAGGCCTACTTGATAGTTAACTGAAGATAAAAGTCTCATGGACTTTTTTGCCCTGGCTGGCTTCGAACTGCAAATCTCAGATCTCAGTCTCCTGAGTAGTTAGGATTATAGGTATGAACCACTAGCACCTGGTAGGCTGATTTTTGGGGTCCAGTCGTGGGGCCTGAACTCTGGGCCTGGGCGCTGTCCCTCAGCTCTTCAGCTCAAGGCAAGTGCTCTACCACTTGAGCCACAGTGCCATTTCTGGCTTTTTTTCTTTTTTGCTTATGTGGTGCTGAGGAATCAAGCCAAGGGCATCATGTATGCAAGGCAAGCGCTCTACCACTGAGCCACCTTCCCAGCCCTAGGTTGATTTTTTTTTTTTTAAAAGAAATATTTGGTTTTTTGCACTTTTGTCTGTAATACTATTTCTCCTGATAAAGGAATAGAATTTTCCACGTGGTACAAAGAGTGTATGGTGATGGTGTCTCAACTGTGCTTACTTCATACATGCCACAATTCAGAAGACTGAGAGCTGAGGTTCGTGGTTCAAAGTCAGCCTGAGCAGGAAAGTCTGTGAGATTCTTACCTCGAATTAACCACCAAAAGAACCAGGAGTGGAGCTGTGGTTCAAGTGGTAGAGTACTAACGTTGCACAAAAAAGCTTGGCAATAGTGAGCAGGCTCAGAGTTCAAGCCCTACAACTGGCACTGGCACGTTAAGAAAAAAAAAGCAGGGCACCAGTAGATTACACCTGTAATCCTAGCTACTCAGGAGGCTATGACCTGAGGATCACAGTTCAAAGCCAGCCCAGGCAGGAAAGTCCGTGAGACTCAATCTCCAATAAACCACCAGCAAACCCGAAGTGGTGCTGTGGCTCAAAGCTAGTGAAGAGCTGAGGGACAACACCCAGGGCCAGAGTTCAAGCCCCCACGACCAACCAAAAATAAAAAGAAGAAGAAAGAAATACAAGTTTTTCATATTGTACGAGACTTCAGATTCCTTAAATCCTAACCATATTCAACCATTTACTGTATAACAAGGAGACCTTAAGTCAGCACTGTTGTTCTGTGTATTTTTTTAATTACATGTGCTATGTTTGAAGAAACAAAATTAACCCCAAGAGGACATTGATAGGATTTCTGAATCAATATCCACAGCTGTTTTAAATGATACTTTTTTTTTTGAAGACTGGAGTATGTAATTGTTTCTAAACTTCATTTTTCATGGATATATGCATCTTTATTTCTAATCAGCTGCTATCAAAGACCACGAGTAATAGAAATTGTGAATCTCCTTTTTCATGAAGGTTTCACAAGGGTTTAATGAGTCTGTTCTGTGACTGTCAAATTATTCCCAATTTGCATGCCTGGCCTGTATCATGGCCCTTTAATTGAGTGTAGTTAATGATTATTCAAGGGAATTTTTTTCCATCTTTCTTTTATTCTCGCTCTTTTGCAATATTGATGCTTGAACTCAGGGCATTGTGCTTGCTAGATAGACAAGTCTGGGCTGTGATCCTACTACTTCTCCTGCCTGCCCCACGGGGCTCAGCCATTGGTGGAAATTGAGTCTTGGAAAGTTTTCTGCCCTGACTGGCCTTACACTGGGACACCTTCATCTCAGCCTTTCAAAGTAGCCAGGACCACAGGCTTGAGCCAGTGATTTCTGATTATTGGCACCACAATGCTAAAGAAATGGCTTATTGTTGCTGGGATATCAGGATGGGTAACTCCAGTGTTCTAGGATGAATTGATTTTCCAAGCCTGCTTTTTGTCACCACGGCCTCTCTGCCTGCCCTTACAAGTTCTTTCAACTCTTACCAAGACAGGCTGGCTCAATTAGGTAAAACAACTTGGATCTCACTTTTTTGGGGGGAGGGGAAAGCTATTACTATGAAATCCCTCCCTCCCACCACTACCAAAAGGTAGGGAAATCACAAATTAGTCTTTTTTTTTCTTTTTGTCGGTTTTGGGGCTTAAACTCAGGGCCTGAGTATTGTCCCCGAGCTCTTCTGCTACTACTTTGAGTCACAGTACCACTTCTGATTTTCAGGTGGTTCATCGGAGATAAGAGTCTCATGGGCTTTCCTGCCTGGGCTGGCTTCGAACCACGATCCTCAGATCTCAGCCTCCTGAGTAGCTAGGATTACAGGTGTGAGCCACCGGCGCCCAGCCACAAATTATTCTTAAATGTACTTGTTCTCCTTCACCTACTATGGCATTCGTTTGCCTCATAGCTAACCCTTTTTATGTCACATTGTCACTAGTGAGAATTCGGTATTGGCAGGGGTCAGGAGCCAGCCAATAGATAGCCCTTAGGTAAAAAAAGTGAAAAAGCAAAGTGACCATCTCCTAGAGCATCTTTTGTTGCTGTTGGTGTTGGTGGTTATGGGGCTGTCTCTGTTTTTTTTTTTTTTCTTTTGCTTAAGGCTAGCATTCTACCACTTTGAGCTAAGGCTCTACTTCATAGGCAGAGTTTCCTGCCCCGACTGGCTTTGAACCGTGATCCTCCGATCTCAGCCTACTGAGTAGCTAGGATTATAGGCATGAACCACTGACACCCAGCTTATCCCTCTTCTGGGGGTCTTGTGACGGCTGTGGAGCAAATAAGGAGCCGATTCTGACTTCCTGGGGTTAGAAGCAACTTTGGCTCCCACACTATGGGCTGCTGGCAGAACATATCCTCAGTCGCATTCTTCAGCCCTGCGACACACAGCGCCATGGCACCAGTGCCAACAAAGGCCCGGCTTCAGTCTCCACTCCCAGGCCCTTGTGTATGGCCGGCTGGCTCAGAGTTTACAAAGACACCAAACAGCCAAAAGAATCAGGGTTTATGTTTCCTTTCAGTCTTTCACAAACACATTAGTGAGCAGGCTTTTCCTCACCCAAAGAGGCATAAGTAGGTACAAAAGGCACTTTTTTTTTCTTTTCTTCCTTAAACCTCTGCATTTGGGATGTTTATTATCTATTCATTATATTTTTATTTGGAGCCAGCCATGGTCTTCTTGGGCTTGTGAAGTAATGACGCTTTCTGTTTGTGGCAGTGCCTATGATTTCACCATGATGAACACATTTAAGTTGTGTTCCACTTGTTTACAAAAATCTTTGGCCAGCACATTGAGGCACTAGAGGAGATGGAAAACGCCTTCTTGTTTTGTATTAAGAAAAATGCCAATTCCCAAAGATCTATCTGTAGCTTGTGACATTGGAATTGGAGTTGAAATGACCTTGTGCATTCAAATCGTGTAGCATCGCTCCGAGGTTGAAAGTGGAAGGTTGCTGACCACTTTTGGTTTCAGTAATAGGCTTCAATGGAGAGGGTACCCGGTTTTGTGGGAAGTAATCCCCCTTTTGAACTGTGATTCCGAGATCTCAGTGTCCTGAGTAGCTACGATGATAGGTGTGCACACTGGCTCCTGACTAGAAATCATTTCTTAAATTGCCCGAGGAAAAGTCCTCCTACTTACACAGGAATAGCCCATCATGACTAAATGCCATTCCTGTCCAAGCTGGCTTCAAACTGTGATCCTCAGGTGTCAGCCTCCGGAGTATCTAGGATTACTCAGCACTTATTGTTTAAGGGGCTCTTTCTTCCTTTTCTGGAAAAAGCTGGAACTCTGAGTCTACAAATGGCATTTGGGTAATGAGTGACGATGAGCACTGTGAATACCCAGTTTTTTAGGTATTATCTTGTATGTTTTTACCTGAATCAAAAGAGGTACATTTTTTATTTTAAAATAAGCTGAGGCCCTCATATTGGAAATGGGAAGTTTATCTTAATATAAAAATTGTTTTATTTAGCCAGGCACTGGTGGCTCATGCCTATCATCCTAGCTACTCAGGAAGCTGAGATCTGAGGATCACAGTTCAAAGCCAGCCCAGGCAGGAAAGTCCATGAGACTTTTATCTCCAAGTAGCCACCAGGAAAACGGGAAATGATAGTATGACTCATAGTGGCAGAGTGTTAGACTTAAGCAAAAGGAGCTCAGTCAGGGACAGTACCCAGGCCGTGAGTTCAAGCCCCACACTTGACAAAAGAACTTGTATTATTAATATTTCATTATTTGAAAAGTCACTACAATTCCTAGAACATTTTCATTTATATTTTCCAAGTATTTTTTTCCTCAAGGATCTTGAAGGGAAAATAAATAATGGGTATACCAGGATTTTAACTGACTTCTGGTTTTGACTCAGAAAAATCCTAGGCATATCCCAGGACACCTTGCTTTAGCTTGTTGGTTACTTAGCCTCGTCTTCAATTTGTTAGCTGGATACTAGCTCAGAACCTTCCAGTGACAGCCACTCACCCTTGAAGAAATGAATAATCCAGGGGCTGGGAAGGTGGCTCAGTGGTAGAGCGCTTGCCTTGCATGCCTGAGGCCCTGGGTTCAATTCCTCAGCACCACATAAGCACAAAGAAAAAAGCCGGAAGTGGCGCTGTGGCTCAAGTGGTAGAGCGCTAGCCTTGAGCTGAAGAGCTGAGGGACAGCGCCCAGGCCCAGAGTTCAGGCCCCATGACCGGACCCAAAAAAAAAAGAAAAGAAAAGAAATGAATAATCCATAGAATGGAAGATTCTTCATTGGATTTTCTTGCTGTAGAATAAAATATTTTATCTAGTCCTTTCATACTTTAGAGAATAAAGGCAATTTGATGTCATAGAAATTTACATAAAATACAAATTAAGAGATGGACCTTGGGGGCTGGGAAGATGGCTTAGTGGTAGAGCGCTTGTCTTGCATGCCTGAGGCCCTGCGTTCGATTCCTCAGCACCACATAAGCAAAATGAAAAAAAAAAAGCCGGAAGTGGCGCTGTGGCTCAAGTGGTAGAGCACTAGCCTTGAGCTGAAGAGCTGAGGGACAGCGCCCAGGCCCAGAGTTCAGGCCCCATGACCGGACCCAAAAAAAAAAGAAAAGAAAAGAAATGAATAATCCATAGAATGGAAGATTCTTCATTGGATTTTCTTGCTGTAGAATAAAATATTTTATCTAGTCCTTTCATACTTTAGAGAATAAAGGCAATTTGATGTCATAGAAATTTACATAAAATACAAATTAAGAGATGGACCTTGGGGGCTGGGAAGATGGCTTAGTGGTAGAGCGCTTGTCTTGCATGCCTGAGGCCCTGCGTTCGATTCCTCAGCACCACATAAGCAAAATGAAAAAAAAAAAGCCGGAAGTGGCGCTGTGGCTCAAGTGGTAGAGCACTAGCCTTGAGCTGAAGAGCTGAGGGACAGCGCCCAGGCCCAGAGTTCAGGCCCCATGACCGGACCCAAAAAAAAAAAAAAAAGAGATGGACCTTGCCTGGCACGGTTCATGCTTATGATCCCGGCTTACTCAGGAGGCTGAGATGTGAGGATAACATTTCAAAGCCAACCCAGGCAGAAAAGTCCATGAGACTCTTATCTGCAATTAATCAGCAAAAAGCCAAAAGTGGAGGTGTGGCTTAAGTGGCTAGAGTATTCCCTTGAATGAAAAAGCCAAGTGAGAGCCACAATGCCCTGAGTTCAAGCCCCCGTATCAGCAAAAAAAACAGGGCTACATGCATGACTCAAGTGGAGCACCAGCTTTCATACCAAAAAAAAAAAAAAATCAAGCCAAAACTGAATCCCCAGGTTCAAACCCCAGTATTGGGGGGCAGGAGAGAGTAATGTTTCTTAAAAATCATACAAAATGAGACTGATTACTCGAAGCTGCACTAATAATGCTTTTCCTTTCTTGTGGTACTGTTCTTCCCCAAACCTCACATTAGATGCCATGCTGATGGTGGCAGAGAGGCTCGAGGGTCCTTTCAACATTGAGTCGGTCATGGATCCTATCGATGTGAAGATCTCTGATGCGATCATGAACATGCAAGACAATAGCGTGCAAGTGTCCCAGAAGGTAATGAAGACCAGAAGTTGGGACAGGAGAGGGAGGCCCCGCCTCCCCCCCCCCACTTGCCATGTGACTACCATGATGCATCTATACTTACTTCAATACAGGTTTTCCAGGGCTGTGGACCCCCAAAGCCCCTCCCAGCTGGACGGATTTCTCGTTCCATCTCCGAAAGTGCCTTCAGTGCCCGCTTCAGACCTTATCATCCAGAGCAACGTCCGACCACAGCAGCTGGCACTAGTCTGGATCGACTGGTGAGCACTTTGGCGGGGAATGGCCATGTGTAGTGGCAAAGAATAGGAAATATTTATTCCCAAATGAATGTTTCATTGGGAAGCTTAGCTGTGTGGGTCTTGCAGGTGTGACTTCTTAAGCAAATTGATAATAGAGATGGCAGAAATTGTAGCCCAGAAAATGCCTTGATCAAGGAAGTGGGATATATTAAGCTTCATTTCTGGATTTCTCTTTATTTCACATTATATTTCTTGAGCTTCTTATATGTCTGTCACTAGGCTAGACACAGGAAGACTCCAATGAAAAGATCCTTATTCTCAAAAGGTCCCATAAAGGCTGAGTGGTGGTGGCTCATACCTGTCATCTTAGCTACTCAGGAAAGTGAATTCCGAGGATCTTGGTTCGAAGCCAGCTTGGGCGGGAAAGTCCATGAGACTCTTCTCTCCAATGAACCACCAGAAAACCGGAAGTGGCACTGTGGCTCAAAGTGGTAGAATGCTAGCCTTGAGCAAAAAGAGCTTAGGGACAGTGCCCAGGTCCCAAGTTTAAGCCTCAGGACTGCAGCACTCCCCAACCCCCGAAAAAAAACTTTAATAAAGGGGGAGAGGCAAATGATCGGGGTTTCTTAATATCAGATGTTATGTGCCAAGAGAAGGAAAGAATAATAGAATATAGATATTACTTTGTTACTTTTAGGGGCCCTAAAAAAGACAATGGTGGTTGTTTTCTGGAGGAAGAGCCTTAATGGGCAATCCCAGAGTGGATAATATATAAGCTTGATCCTGACTATATAAGCCTTGGACAAAGAGACTGTCTTATCATAGTGTCTACTGGGCATTGGACCTGGTGAGCCTCAGGTGGTAATTGAAATGAGAAAAAAGAAGTATATAGAGGGGTTATTTCTTTTTTTTCTTTCTTTCTTCTTTTTTTTTTCGGTTGTGGTGGCTGAACTCTGGGCCTGGGCGCTGTCCCTGAGCTTTTCTACTCAAGGCTAGTGCTCTACCACTTGAGCCATAGCTCCACTTCCGGCTTTTTTCTGCTTATGTGGTGCTGAGGAATCGAACTCAGCCTCATGCATGCAAGGCAAGCACTCTACCACTGAGCCACCTTCCCAGCCCCAGGCTTATCATTTCTTAAGTCAGGTAATAAATACATTTCTGTGTGTATGTGTGTGGCTAATTGGAAGTAAGATTCTCAAGGACTTTCATTCCCAGGCTGGCTTTGAGTCTTAATCCTCAGGTCTCAGCCTCCTGAGTAGCTAGGATTACAGGCATGAGCCACCAGTGCCTAACTTCTAAATACAAATTTGGTCTGCATGTTTTATTTCTGGCTACAGTTGAAAATGAATTGGATACCACTTATTTAGAAATGAAATGATGGAGGACTGGGAATGTGGCTTTGTGGGTCGAGTGCTTGCCTAGCACTCTGAGGCCCTGCGTTTGATGCCTCAAAACAAAATGGGGGAAAAACAAAGAAAGAAATGATCCAAAGATGATCAAAAGGCACTTCCCAAAGTGGTTTTCTGTTGTCTTATATCCATTTTATATCCTATTCTCTTCATTAGGTCACTGATGTCAAGGAGAAACTGAAACAGGCCAAGAAGTTCTGGTCGTCTCTCCCTAGCAGCGTGTGTAATGATGAGAGGATGGCTGCAGGAAATGGCAATGAGGATGATTGCTGGAACGGCAAAGGAAAAAGCAGGTCAGCAGGTGTTACACATATTTGCAACCTCTTTCTTCTTAAGCTGGGTGTCCTTGGGGTTGGGGGGGGTGGAGAGAGGAAGGTCAGTTGTCAATGGAGGCCTTGAGCAGTCACAAGGAAAGCCTATAGATTTCTTAGACCTGGGGTTTTGTAGTACAGCAATCAAAAAGATCCCAGCTCCTTATGCAGGGTACTGGGTTTGTAGTTCTATTCCATAACTCTGTAACTTAGATAAGTGCCCATTCTGACAGACCTAGACTCTGGCCCTTAAATACTTCCAACACGATGGTTTGCAGAAAGGTCCTGGCCAGATGAGAGAAACAAGACACATGTGCAGGAAATGGGGCTATTAGCATTCATTAAAAATGGCAGCACTTCCGTTTAATTGTGCTCCGTGGAAGTAGTAGAATCTAGCAGGACTCTCTGGTAAAATCGCTTTTCCATTTTCTTTTTGCTTTTCTAAATCATGTTGATAGGCTCTTTTCTGCCTTCAGGTACCTGTTTGCAGTGACTGGAAATGGCTTAGCCAACCAGGCTAATAACCCGGAGGTCCAAGTGGACACCAGCAAGCCAGACATAGTGGTCCTCCGCCAGATCATGGCTCTGCGGGTTATGACCAGTAAAATGAAGAATGCTTACAATGGGAATGATGTGGACTTCTTTGATATCAGTAAGGCTTTACAATTTTCAAGTATGAGCTTTATTGTTGGTGGCGATGGTGGTGGTAGTGGTGGTGGGTTTTTTCTTTTTTGCATTTTTTGTGTGTGTGTGTTTTTGTTTGGTTGGTTTTTTTGTTTTGTTTTGTTTTGTTGCACTGGGCCTGCGTGCTGTCCCTGAGCTTCTTTTGCTCAAGCCTAATGCTCTACCACTTGTACAACAGCTCCATTTTGGGCTATTTTGGTGGTTCATTGGAGATAAGAGTCTCACAAACTTTTCTGCCTGGGCTGGCTTTGAACTGTGATTCCTAGATCTCAGCCTCCAAAGTAGCTAGAATGACAGGCGTGAGCCACTGCTACTCAATGGCTCACAAACATACAGATACATGTATACCTGTATGTCTAGACATGTATACATATATGTACACGTGTGTAAATGTGTGTGTATACTTTGTGATCAGAGCATATGGAATGAAATCTCTCTTCTCTTTTTATCGACACAGGTGACGAAAGCAGTGGAGAAGGAAGTGGAAGTGGGTGTGAATACCAGCAGTGCCCTTGGGAGTTGGAGTACAATGCCACTGACTTTGCAGGGAAGAATGCCAATGATAAAGCCGACAGTGCTGGGGCCCATGCCTGTGCCCAGCCCTACCTCCTCACTCTCTTCTGCATCTGTTTCCTAGTTATGCAGAGAGAATGGAGATAATTCTCAAATGCTGAGATTTAAAAAAAAAAAAAAGGGTTCATTGTCAGAAAGTTAAAAGGCTCCAGATATATCACTTTTCTACCATCCTAGTGACTTTGCTTTTTAAAAATGAATGGACAACAATGTACAGTTTTTACTACGTGGCCACTGGTTTTAAAAAATGCTGACTTTTTTTTCTCTTTGATTTAATGGGAGGGGGGACAGAGGCACTCATACAGAAAGATGCTCTCTGTCCCTCCAAATCATGTTAAATGTGGCTAACAGTTAGGTACAGAACTGTAGTTAGTTGTGTGTTTGTGACTTTATCACTATCATTTGTTTGTTTGTTTTTTTCCCTCATTTTGTTTGTGGGTGTGTTTTTTTCCTCCCAATTATGATCTCACCTTGTTTCTTATGAGAAAACCAGGGTCCTTTCTTGGCATGTAACATGTACGTATTTCTGAAATATTAAATAGCTGTACAGAAGCAGGTTTTATTTATCATGTTATCTTATTAAAAGAAAAAGCCCAACAAGCCGTAAAATTTCCATTTATCCCTGTTATTTTACTAGCTGCCTTATCTGCAAAGAAATGGAGGTGAGATGGGGTTTTTATTGTTATTAATTGAACACAATAGGCACTTGGACCTTCTGAGCCACTTGTACTTACAATCTGAGCCACTTGTCAGATTGTAGTCAAACATCCATACAACAAGAAGGGTATAACTTTATCACTGGTGACTGCAAGAGACTACAGATGGCCCATTTTGGTTGAGTTGGATTGCATAAGCTAAGAGTACAATGTAGGTCCATTTCTTAAATCTGCTTATACTGAAAGCGTACCTCCTCCGACTAAAAGAGTCTTGACATAGACAGAAGGCATTCAGGATACATCCATTATCACATGATCGTGCTTGCATTTCAGAATGTGTTGTGTTGTTTTTAAGCCAGGCTAGTTAGTCAGCCACTGTGTATCAGTTTTCACATCCATGCTGCCCTGCTTTCAGTTTTTATCCCAGTGGCAGCACTGAATGACCAACAGTGGCATCTGGTTCTCTGTAGCAGAGTGAGGCTGATTTCAAACCCAGCCATGTAAAGGAGCTAGCTAGATGCTAGCCAGAATTGGGGTACAGCTTTTGGGCTCAGGGAATAGTTGTCAACTCTTGAAGCAAAGTTTCGGTCTATTATATGTGCATTTGCATTGTTTCTAGATCCCAGTTGTTATTGTTGTTGTTGATGTTGTTTTTCCTCCAAGAGATGTGTCTGAGTGTTTTTCTTGCCCTGCCCACTCTGGTCAGTAAAGCAAAGGACTTGCAGTGATTTGTAGGCGTGTGCTGCCTCTACCAGCCAATCAGCTAATTGTGGGAAGGGGAGAACAAGGTGTCCAGATTTTTTCATTTATTAATGGGGGGAGGGGCAATGGGAGGAGATAGAGCTGAGAAGACCCATCTTATCCCTGACCCTTAGCCACTTGCATGAACTGGCTGGCAATGGCAACGGGCCCTATCTATTGTTCTAGGCCAAAGACTGACAATTGCCCCTTACAACCCCTTTCTTGGTGTCCTTACCAAAAGACAGCTCACAAAACACTGAGAATGTAACAGATTGCTTTCAAGGAGATTCTTCAGAAAGACTAAAATTCTGCAAGTGTCTTCCTATTTTGGACAACCATGGAGATCCCAACCAATTTTATAGAACCAAAAAACCCTCCAGAGAGGTTGTTTGTGTTATTGTTCACTTTTCAGTTGTAAGAATAATTCTCTATTTTTATATTGAAACATAATTACTTGATAGCTCAGGGTCTACATTTCATTCAGTTTTTTGTTGGTTTTTTTTTGTTGTTGTTGTTTTGTTTTATTTTGTTTTTTTTTTTACACCAAATTCTGCAGAATGATCAAAATGGAATCTTGGGGGCTGTTGTAAACAGAGGCTTGATTTTATTAGAAGTAGCCAGTTATTTATTAAAGCATGATGTTAATAAAATAGGCATATACTGGCTGGTGTGTGTAAGTGTTTTTTTGGGGTTTTTTTGTTTTTTAAAGAAAAAAACAAATCACAGAAGACATAAAATTGTGAAAGCACTCCATTTATGTATGAGGAAAAATAGATTATAAGTAGCTAAGTGTGCTGATATTTACTAACTACCTCAGTTGTGAGGAATTTCCCTTTTCACTTAGACTGCTATTACTTTTTACTTGGTAGAAATGAATCTAGTCTCCAAAATATGGCTCAAAGAATTCTCCCCATAGATCTTGTTAGATTGTTTTTAATTTAAAACCTTGAACTCTGACCAGCTGTTTTCTTTCAGTCAAGTTCTCTAAACCAATAACATTTTCCGAATTAAAAAATTCTTGAAGGTTCTTCTGGGCTCTTACTGATTTGTTTTCTTTCTTTCTTTGCCTCCCCCTCCCCTGCCCCTCTTATTATTTAAATTATCTCTTGCTTTTGAACTTGAACTATGAAATAAACAAATGATAGATTTTTTTCCATTCAGGTCTTACTGGATAACTCTTGGCTTCTGACCAGCTGGCAGACTTCTCTCTCTGTTCCCCCCAAAAAAGAATAAAGGCAAGTTGAATATTTTAAAACCTTTAGAGCTTGGATGTTGAGATAAAATAAAAAGCCTTATTAGGAGACCTAACTTTTGCAAAATGAATAGCATGTGAAGGAGTTGTGTTTTATAAAGTCCTTTATGAGTTACTTTTCTTTCAAAGACTTTACCTACTTTTTGTGTCTTAAGACCTTTGAAGAATCTTAGACTTGTCCTTTATTTAAAAATAGTAATTAGCATCTGTTAATTTGATAAAAGGAGGGCTGTGAAGAATTGAATTTCACTGGTAAGCTTTTTATTAGAGTGTTACATGCCTAAAGGTTTATCTGAAATATAGTCATTTATGATGACAGAACCAAAATTAAAATAGGTGTAGACTATCTTACACAAACTCTACTTCTCCTTTTATGTTGGAAGAATGTGTCTATTTGCATAGCAAAAGGCCAATAAATTAATGACAATATCTACTAGAGGACTGTGTATATGTAAAATGTGAAAATATAGCTTTCTGTGTGCATGTGTGTGCACCTGTATGTCAGCACTGCCTTGAACTACTCCCTACCTCCACTTTTGGAAGTGGTTAATTGGAGATAAGAATTTCACAGATTTCCCTGCTCAGCCGGGCTTTGAACCACATGATCCTCAGGTCTCAGACTCCTGAGTAACTGGGATATAGATGTGAGCCACCAACTTGCATTCATTTTTTTGAAATTGGGTCTCAATCTGTTTCTCAGGCTAGCCCTGAAATCCGGGGCTCAAACTTTCCTCCTTTGGCCTCCCAGGTAGCTGAGACTACAGGGTGTACACCATACATGGCAACTCTGTGTGTGTGTGTGTGTGTGTGTGTGTGTGTGTGTGTGTGTGTGTGTGTGTGTTACTGAAGATAGAACACAGGGCCTCACACATGCTCTTCTACTTATGTGGTAATACCCAGCCCTTTTTGTGTTATTTTTTAGATAGAGTCTTGATTTTTCCTAGGCTAGCCTGAACTGTAATCCTCCTATTTATGTTTTTTAAATAGCTGGGGTGACAGGCATATGTCACTATGACATATGGTTGAAATAGATAGGAGTCTCATTAATGTTTGCCTGGCCAAACCTCACGCTGATTCTTCCAATCTCTGTCTCCTAAGTATCTGGGATCACAGGAGTGAGCCAACATTCCCAGCCACTTTTGACTTTTCATGTATCCAGTACTACAGATGAAACTCAGGACCTCAAACATGCTAGGCAAGCATTCTGTCATTGAGCTTCTAGCCCTATTTTTGACACTTAAGGAATTGTTAGGTATTCTGAGAAATTCACCTGCGGTGCCCTGTCAAGAGAGGTGAGAATAGCTGTGTACTTGGCACGAGGGCCAGGCTACCTTGATTACCGCAAACAATCCACCAGCATAGAAATCATTCTCTATGTTACAAAGGAGCGGAAGGTCTGGAAGTTTGGTAACTTATTCAAGGATGACAGATAAGGGCCAGCTAAGTGCCGGTGGCTCACATCTATAATCCAACTTACTCAGAAAGCTGAGATCTGAGGATCACGATTCAAAGCCAGCCAAGGCAGGAAAGTTATGAGACTCTTAATTAACCACCAAAACATGGAGCTGTGGCTCAAGTGGTAGAGCACTAGCCTAAATAGCTCAGGGACAGAACCTAGGCCCTGAAATCAAGCCCCAGGACTGGAAGCAAAGGAAAAATCAAGGGCCTGATGGGGAACAGAAATGGGCCCACCACCCAAACCTGTTCATTTCTGATGCTACTTTTCTCTCTCTCTCTCTCTCTCTCTCTCTCTCTCTCTCTCTCTCTCTCTCTCTCTTTCTCTCCCTCTCTTTCTCTGTCAGTCATGGAACTTGAACTTGGGGCCTGGGCACTATCTCTGAGGTCTTTTGGTTCAAAGATAGTGCTCTACCACTTTGAACCACAACACCACTTCCAGTTTTCTGGTGGTTCACGGGAGACTTTCCTGCCCAGGCTGCCTTTGAACCGCAACAGATCTCAATCCACCTAAGTAGCCAAGATTACAGGTGTGAGCCACCAGTGACTGACCCCTGTCTCTTATTCTATATGCCATCTATAGCACTGCCATGGCCCTGACACCAAACAGAACCTTGGTTTACGTGGCTAGCCTGTATGTAGATGGGAGGACTCCAGGGCCATCAGGAGTTAAATCTTGAGATGGTTTGTGACCTATGACCTTGCACAGTGGTGCCTTGCTCCTTGGGCTTCCAAGCTAACAGGGCTCAGGTGATCACACGTGGAACCTCTGTGGTATTGAACTGACAATTCTTGAACCGATAGGAACTCAAGTGACCTTAGCCACTCTTTCCAGGACAGCCTCAGATCCTGTGACCCTGCGGGGGAAAAAAACCCAGTGGAGTGAGGCGCCAGGCTGGGAAGACTCAACCTGCTGAACACTTAAAGCAAATACAACCTGTTGAGATAAGCGCCATGGTTTATGGAGGGGGAAAAATCATTCCTGCTTTCATCAGCGGGGGCTGGGGAAGGAAGGTAAATGCATCTCTGGATAAATGAGGCTCAGTGCACGTGATCAGGCCTTCTTAAAGAGCCCTCAACAAGATTCCATTGTAAAAGCTACACCCAAGTCACAGATTGGACGCAACAGAGACACACAAGTGTTATTGTACTTGAGGAGGTTCTGGGGTTCCTTGTGCTGGATTGATGGCACACTAGATGGAAGACAACTAAAGGACAAAACTCTACTTTTGGGGAAGGAAAGATTTGACTTGCCAAGCTTAACCAAGAGCCCAGAGCAAGTTTTCATTGCTTCCTAATGCCATTGTTTATGCAGTCCCAGCAGGTGCTGAACAAAGTGGGAAAGGTCCTGATCTACAATTTCTTTGGACTCTACTGTTGAAATTCCATCTTTTTTTTGGTGGTAGGCCTTGAACTCAGGACCTGGGCACTGTTCCTGAATTTTACTCAAGGCTAGCACTCTACCCCTTTGAGCCACAGCTCTACTTCCATTTTTTTGAGTGGTTCACTGGAGATGAATCTCATGGACTTTCTGCCCAGTTTGGCTTTGAATCGTGATCCTCAGTTCTCAGCCTCCTGAGTAGCTTGGATTGCAGGCATGAACCACCAGTGCCCAGCATCCAAATAACATCTTGACACAGGGTCCAAGGCAAGCAGCACTGAGGGCTCAGCCTATCTCCAAGTAAAGATTAAGATGTGTGAAGAATCTGCAAAGAGAAACTGAAATAACAGACCTGTCACATCCAGGGGCTGGAGGAAGGGGCTATTCCTAGAACTCAAGACCCACTGCTCCTTGAATGTCTTAATGACATTCACCTTAATGACTCCACCTTATTCCATGGGCAGTAATTCAAACAACAGGTCAAACCTGCCAGCTGGTAGTAACCCAAACAATGGTAAACAAAATCCCAGGAGAATCTGAATCATGGGGGATGTGTGTCCCATATTATGCTGATGTTCCACTTCAGCATCTGAGGTGCCCCTTGGAGAAAGACGGGCTTTAATTACTTCCCTTCAACACTTGGCTCACAAGGCTGCTGTAAATCAGGACTCTGGATATCTAAGTGGCCTATCTTGTGTAATTTATGCTCAAGCAAAGAATTGGCAGTCCCTTGTCATATAGAAACAGAAACAAAATGACATACTCAGGGAACCTAGTCTTTGCTTAGCTCTTGTATGAGCCTCCAAATCCACATAAAACTTGAAGCAATAATAAGTTTACACCATGTCTTTACCTGCTTTCTGCTTGGGAAAGCAAGAGGGAAGATGGAAGATGGGGTCTCTGCCTGGTAGGTCTCACTCCTGAGTTTCTGGTCCAGCAGGACTGAATGGGAGGCAGAGATTTTACCATTTCTACCCGGCACCCAGGTGCTGCTGCTGGCCACAAATCCCTACTTTGTAGATCTTTTGATTAGACTAATCAAAGGGATTTTAGGGCCTGGCTTTTGGATTCAGGACCTGGGGCCTACTAGGGCAGTCATTTGGGACCCTTCCAGAAAAATACTTGGAAGGAACACATCACGTATGTCATTTCAATAGTCCAGCCAAAAGACTGCCCAACCAGTATTTGCACACCTCCAAGACACAAAGCCCACTATAGTTGGTACTGTATCTGTAGGTAGCTCTAAATATTACAAAAGACTGTTGAGCCAGGCACTGGTGGCTCATGCTTGTAGTCCAAGCACCTCAGAGGAGGCTGAGATCTGAGGATTGTGTTTCAAAGCCAGCCCAGGCAGGAAAGTCTGTGAGACTCTTATCTCCAATTAACCACCAGAAAACCGGAAGTGGCCCTGTGGCTCAAGTGGTAGAGTGCTCGCCTTGAGCTGAAGATCTTAGAGACAACACCCAGGCTGTGAGTTCAAGACCCACAACTGCCACCAACAACAACAAAAGACTTTGTGCAGACTACAAAATATACACACAGGTTCTGTTTGCTCAGTCATTAGGTAGCAGAGCC